CTCATCTTGGAAATGTAATCTTCCATTTTGATAAGGCCGGTTGTAAAGGAAATATAAACAAGCATGAAGAAGATTGTAGGTAGTGCAAGAATCTGTGAGCTCACTAGCGCCCTCTGCCTTGAGGCAGGCGTTTGCCTCACAGAGTAACTTTTTTACTGGGTTTTATGGTTAATCTGCGAGCCTAAACACGTTACAGAACTACATTTTATACATTATCCAGATTATGGCAAGGCAGAGCATATAATCAGAGTGTTTGAAAGCATTTTATTTGCGATATATAGAGGGACAGCGACACACTATTTGCATCGCATACAGTTTGTGAGGATTACACGATCCACCGAGAGGCACAGCAAAGTGCTGCCTCATCGCACATCTCCTCCATGTATTTGAACGGGACATATGGAAATTCTGCTATTCTTTATTGAAAAAAAATTAATTCAACATCGGATTCGAACGGCAAAAGGGCCTACAACACACACCAGCCGACAAATATTAACATTTATTATATTTTATGGTCAACTTTTTTTTCCTTGTCAAGATTGACAGGGGAGGCTCTGCCTCACCTGCCTCCCCTGACCGCACGTCACTGGTGGATTGTCAGAGAATTGTGATGCCAACACTGGTTTCAGCAACTAAAATGCAATTTTTTAAAAACTTTTTTCCAAATGAGATAGTTGGACTGTTGGTTAAACATGAACATCACTTTGTGAATTCATCACTAAGTGTTTGACATTTGATAGTTTGAAAGAATTAAACTACACATCAGTTGCATGCATGAAGTTAGGTGTTGGGAAACCAGCATGCATCTAAAACACGTCTGAACTTTGCACAGATAAGTTACCATTTACCCAAATTTCACAGCCCGTAGTAACACAGTGACCTAAATAGTGAGTGTGAGAATGAAAGTGTGTCTCTTTTGTACAGTGAGAGGTGCAGCTCACATGGTGATTTGATCAGCCAATTCATCACACTACTTCCCCAGTCTGAGTGCTGGAAACTCCAACTCAGATAGACCTCAGGCTGGCCCCTCCTGTTTTGTCTCATACAGTATCTTCATTTCACTTTCTTCTTCTTTTCTCTCTCTCTCTCGCTCTCTCTTAGTCTATTTACCTGTATCTGATCTTCTTCAAGCAATCTCCGCTCTCCCTCTGACTCCCCTCCTTGCGCCATCCTTCCTCCTAATCTACTTTCACACTCCCTCTGTGACATGCTCCCTTGCTCATTGACTTACTCTTTCACGCTCTGCCTCCTCATCCTCCCTCTTCTTCTCCCTTTTCCTCCTGTGCTCCATCCATCTCCCTTTATCTCTCTATTCCCTGACTCCCTGATCTGATTTACTACTGTGGGGACTCTGTGTCAAAGATGAGTGCTACAAGTGTGCGAGGGGTAGGTGGGATGATGAGCGAGTGAGTGTGTGGGCACGTGTGCGTAAGTGGCTTCTCATAAGATGTTTTCATTTTGAAGGTTGCGTGTGTCACCAAAGCTGTTGCACGCATGCATCATCTCCGAGACGCTCAGCTGGTGTGTAGTCAGTTATCAGGGTAAAGCGTCTTTCTCTTGTCCTACAGGGAGATTACAGCAATAACACAAAGCCGCAGCTTTTGACAAGGTATTATGGCTCCAGCAACAAAATGACACATAGCTGGTGGCTTAGTCACAGGTGTGTTGGAACAAGTTTGTTCATGTCCTCTTGTTTTCCCACAGGCATTGATACAGATGCACTGAACAGAGCGGAAACCCACCTGTTAAAAGCTTATTAGGCTTTCACTTCAGGCTGAATGCAGTCAAAACAAAAGGTAGCTCAGGCACAGTAAAATATTCACTTTACTGTGTGTGACTGTGGGAGGCCATTGCTGCTCGTGTACTGTATGTGCGCCCATGTGATAGAGGCTATGATTTCAGTCAGCCTTCCTAAACTGCACACAACAGATTGAGCAAGAGCATTTTGGTGTTTTTTTTTCTGTCCCCACCTCTGATTTCCTCACACACACATACACTCATCAGGAAGTTTAGACTGGTTATCAGGATCCAAAGTACATCTTTCTACACACCCACTGTGTGTTATGTGGGTCAGAACTGGGCTGAGGTGATGAAGCACATCTGCTCATAAACTGTTGGCACACAGTGCTGAAAGCTGTGCGGTGGCTCATGTTCTTGCGCGTGTGTCTTAATGACAAAGGCCTGAATAAGGACCTTTACCTCAGGGGCTTGTCCTTCTCTTTTTTGATCCAGATGCCCGTGTGCACACAAGCAGACATTTTCACATACATTGTAAGTAATTTTTCTCCTGTTATGGACAACTAGTCCATATTTGATTTGCTTTTTGCCTCACTGGGAAATTTGAGAGCCATCCGAATGATGAAACTCCTAATTGAGTTTTAAAGACTGTTTATCAAGAGAAGATCCTGTTAGTGCAGCACAAGAGATAAAAATAAACACACACTTGAGGCTCAGTTGGAAATAACTTATCTTTCCTTCTTGCATTATAGAGCAAATCCAAAGGCCAGGACCTTTTTGACCAGATCATGTATCACATTGATCTGGTCGAGACAGACTACTTTGGATTGCAGTTCATGGACACAGATCAAGTCTCAGTGAGTAACAGGGCTCTTGCTTCTAACACAGTAGAGTACAAGTTGATATAACTCCTTCTCACCTTGTTATTATTTTCTCTCTTTTAGCACTGGCTGGATATGAGCAAGCTAATAAAGAAACAGATCAGAGGTGAGTTCAATTCAGACTGCTTGTCTAATTAGGCCTACTTGTGCATGTGGATGCAGGTAAGTGGGGAGCAGGTGGTGCATTATCAGATGTTGACATGGTGCTTAGCATGTGCATTAGGAGTCATATTCTTGTTTTCTCTCCATTATATAATGGGGATGAATGGTACAAAAGAGGAGTGGAAGGATGGAGGATGTTCTACTTGCTCACTGGTCCTTTATTCACTGAGCTGTAGTTTAAAGGAAAGTCTGATGCCGAAGTCAAACAGGAAAGAAATGTTAATGTAGGTTAAATAGAAATGTGCGCAATTAAAGATTTTTGCCCTGTCTGACCATGATAGATGGACTAGATGAGCTGAATAGAGTGGAAGAAACAGAGTAAATTCTAAGATTTGATTAAATAAATGTGATTAATTACTGCTTCATCTCTATCCACGCTTTCTCTTCCTGTCTTTCTGCCTCTCACACAGTCTTTATTCTCACATTACCTTCTGTCTTCCTTTCCTCTAGACGGGCCTCCTTACAGACTGTTTTTTAGAGTGAAATTTTACTCTTCAGAGCCAAATAACCTGCGTGAGGAATTTACAAGGTAAAAATCTCACAGGCAAATTAGACACACACATGAATGCACACGGTTTTCTCTGGAGCTCAGTGTCGACATACAAAGGGGGACGTGAGGCTAATTACTTTGCTGCTGAGGGCAGATTCAAATCAAGGCCAAACGGACTGAGATTTGTTAAAACAAATTACGTGTCAGAGATGAGGAAAAGCTTGTGACACTTAAAATGATTTATGTTTTTACCCACACAGGTATCTGTTTGTGTTGCAGCTTCGCCAAGATATTCTGTCGGGCAAGTAAGTTTCTTGAGCACGTATGAACACACTTTTCCACTGAACTGAATGGGAAACAGACTTTTGAATGGTAGTGTATAAATACATTCACTCTACCACAGTTTTGTATTTTTGCATATATTGTGTATTATTTTGAGAAATATGCTTATTTACAGGCATTTATATACAAACACATCTACACATATATGTAAAAAGGAATCTGCAGGAGATATGGCCTGTACACAGAGAAACCCGAGGCTACAAAAAGGAATTTCATTCAGGAAGGACCACACCAGCAGTATGTGACTAAGGGTTTAAACACTAAAGATTAATTGATATGAGAAAGGGGATGAAGTAGGAGGAGGAGGTCATTGAGTAAGGCTGGTCAGGGACAGAGGTAGGAGAAGACTCATTATGGAGGACCTGCCTCAGCAGTTTCAGCTGAGTTTAGTATGAGACTTAGTAGCTGGAGGAGGGAGAGCTGATCAGTATGGGGAAGAGGTATGCTTGTGGTATAAGAGGTATGATGGTGTGTATAATGCTGGGGAGAGGGAGGGATGTGGCAGGATGGTAAATGCATGAAGTAAAGGTGACAGGAGGGTGGGTAGAGAAAACTGTAGCAAACAGAAGAGGATTGGTTAACCAGTTTGACAGGTGATTAGAGGTGTGGCCCTACTCCAGAACTAAAGTTAACTAGTCATTGCAAATAAGGGGTGTAGGCTCATAAAGCTGTACTTTGATGCAACCATGCACTGAGCTAAATGCTAGCTAGTAAGTTTTGCATGCTAACTTTTGCTGATTAGCACAAAGGACAACTGAGGCTGGTGGGGATCATGGCATTAGCTTAGCATACTTTGTTGCTAAACCAAATTATTGTGTGCTGGTGCTAGATGAACAGTTCAAAGATCACTCCATAGTGGGATATGAATGTCTACATAGATTCAAGGCAGTTCATCTAGCAGTAGTTGAGCTATTTCACACAAAACCCCATGGTGGCGCTAGAGGAAAGGGGATCGCCAACATTAGTATGACTCCTTCTCTGGAAACCATGAATGTCCATTTACCCAATCCACAGAGCCATATCTCTTTCCTGGCTAAAAGGAAAACAGAAGAGAGGCAAATGCAGATTTACCATTATTAATTATTTCAACTATTAAAAACTACTATTACAAGTGGTAATAGGTAGTGTTAAATTCCGAAACACTCTAGGTACTGTGAAGGGATATTTGACCTCACTACCAGAGTGTAAAGGAAGCTGAAGATGCTCTGACTGCCTGATAAAGTATGAGTGAATACATTTACATCAGGACAAAACAAGCCCTCACAAGTCACTCTCTGGTAATTCCTCCTCATTTGTGCAAGACCTCCAGATCTCACTAAACCTGATACACACACCCTCACCTGTGCAAGCATTGCACATTTGCCAGCATCGTACACACAAACACAGACATGCGTGCTCAAACACATGCTCAGTGTGTTTCCCCCTCTCCCTCCTCCTGGCTCTATCTGGGCCATGGATCCCCAGAGCCCAGCTCTATTATAAAGCTCATGATCAAGAATGAAGAGGGCTGCTTATTTTAGGAAGGGGGCTGCTCCTCTCCTCCTTGACATGCTCACACAGTGCAAGGCGTTCAAACACTTTGCTTGTCTGAAACATGATTACATGTTGGCATCACACCATGAATAGTACAGTGGGCTTGATTTGGTGAAGCACTCGTGCTGAAAACAGCTCATTAATCAGTGTCTCTTTCTCACTTCAGATTGAAATGTCCGTATGATGTCTCAGTAGAGCTGGCAGCATATTGTCTACAAAGTAAGTAGACTTCACATACTCACATATTCATTGATATTTACATTTATATTGAGACACTTTTCAAGAATACCGCCTCTCAAAGGACCACACTAATAGTTTTGCATGATTAGGCCAGTAACTACTTATAAATCATACTACTGGTACCTGTTTTTCAAAGCCTTTAATTTGGTTTAGTTTTACCCTTCAGGAAGCTATTTGTTGCCTTTCATTTCATTTAGAAAAATCAGCCTTCAGACTTTTTTAAAAACCTTTATTTAGACAGGGTAGGTGCTTTCTTTTGCAGGAACACCCTGATCACATTCACACAGTTACACACATTCACCCCCGGAAGCTGCTAACCATGAACTGAGCCGGCATAAACTACTGGTCATAGGTCATAGCAGGTCATGTAAAACTCTAGCAGCAGTGTGTTGAACTGAGAAAGGGGGTGTTTTATTTCTTAACCATTTGTAAGAGGAAGAGTGTGTTATGTCATCTTAAAAAAAGGACATTACACATGTTGTAGACTTGATAAAGTCAGCGGCGTGCTCTGCATTTATGAATTTTGTGTGTATCTTCATCCAGGTGAGCTGGGAGACTGTGATCCTTTGGAGCACTCTCCTGTACTGGTGTCTGAGTTCCGTTTCACTCCCAAACAGAGCGAGGCCATGGAGGCTGACATCTTCAGCAGGTGGCTAGAACTTAGGTGAGAATAACAGTTATTGTAAAGTTAGTGTCAGGCCTTAAGATTTAATTGTTACAAAAATGGAACATTTCGCCACCTGAAACACAGGACATAATCACATACAGTACATCTGCACCAGCTGCTTGCTGCTGTGTCAACACGACTTATTGGAGGGCTTCCACTTGAATTGACAGCAGGTCTCTCTCCTCACTAGGAGAAACAACTGGAGCAAAAAGCTGAGCACTGAGTAGGAACGGAAGTCATTCTGATGCTGCCTTTCGGCACCAGCATTTCCACTGATGATGGCATCTAAATTTTACCGTTTCCTTTCTCTCTTCCTCCACTTCGGCCTCACTCTCACTGGTCTGTGTGAGGGACTAAAAGATTAATCCCTGGAGGGTCTATATTGATTCCAGGCAGTATTCAACCCAGCCACAGTCTGATTGCTCCCATCTCAGATTAGATTCCTTGTGCCGTGCTTCACCGAGCCGACTGAGCTACACATTTACAAAGCCACACATAACACTAGGACTCAGTTAGAGACACAACCAGATAGTTACTCACCAGGTATTTCTCTTAGAGCTAACACCAATTACCAGCAGAGGTCATGCAGCACGCAGCAGGTGTTGTTATTGATAGTTTTCCCTTTCCAGACCGAGCTGCCACACTGACTTTCAGATCAGAGGTGACGGAAGCAGAGATGTTTTGGTTGTAAAAACTAAACATGGTATCTTTTTTTTTTTTTTTTTTTTATTTGTCAGGAGACAGAGCCCATCTCAAGCAGAGATTTCTTTTCTCAACAAGTGCAAGTGGCTTGAGCTTTACGGAGTAGATATGCACTTTGTCAAGGTGTGTGAATTTGTTTTACTATCTCAAATAGCACTTAATATGTGACATTACAGTACATCAAGAATGTGTATTTGTCCATGCAAATTCTCAGTCATCCAGGTCGCAGTATGCAGAAAAAACTTAGAAGAAGGCATCTGGATGTCGTTTTAGGTAGAGGACATTTCGCCTCTCATCCAAGAGGCTTCATAAGTTCTGTCTGACTGGTGGTGAGCAGGAGGTATTTATCCCACTGGGCGGGGTTTCAGTCCTTCAATGGCCAACAATGTCCTCTAAAAAGCGAGTCGATAGGGTCTGATACTGGCGAGAGTCGTTACCTGTCTTTGAACCCTCACATGTGGACTGTCGCCTATTGTCCTGGTGTGAATTGGGGTGGAAATGTTTGGGTAGAGATTTCAAAACAGAGTTGGATGACAAATTGTGTCTGAGTCCACAGCCCCTATTTACTACGTCCAGATGCCTTGTGCTAAGTTTTTTGGCAAAAATGTGTATTGTTGCAAACTAAAGGAATGTGTGTGTGTGTGTGTGTGGTTTCTTCAGGGCAGAGATGGAGGAGAATACGCTCTAGGTCTCACTCCTACTGGGATCTTGGTATTTGAAGGCTCCAATAAAATCGGCCTCTTCTTTTGGTAAGAACATCAAACATATGAAATGCACTGGTTCCCAGAGTGGGTGCTGTGACATCATGGGGCAACTTAGGATCAGGCAATTTGAAATTAATTTTCTCAAATGACAAAGATAACTGCTTATTTTTTGTTTAATATCATTGGAAACAGAATATTTTTGCATGGGAAGTGTTGGTTGAACAAAATAAGAAATTTGACCTTGGACCTTGGGAAAATGATTTTTATTCTTCCACACTGACGATAGCCGCAGCTGGAAGCATCATGTTTTTGGGTTATCCGTCCGTATGTCTGGCCCATTCTTGTGAACGTGGCATCTCGGGAATGCCTTGAGGGAATTTCTTCAAATTTGGCAACTCAAGGATGAACTGATTAGATTTTGGTGGTCAGAGGTCAAGGTCAGCCTGTCCTGTTCCCATGAATTTGACTGGTTGGCAGAGGTATACAACCACAAAGTAGTAATTCTATTTTTTTTTTTTTTTGACATTTTGTAGATTTATTCAGTATCAAAAACATAATCAGGTGATAAATGATAATAGTAATACTTGTTAGTTGCAGCCCTAATATGAACAAGTTCAGTATTTATCTATAAACATAACCTAAAACTGCTTTTTTTAAAATTTTTCTTTTGGGTGACTGAGAATAGGCTTTTATTAATTCATGTGTGCCTGATGGGGGCATAGATGAATTTCTGATGGTTGCCCTGGTTTCAAAAATGTTTGGGAATCACAAACCAAACCAAACCAAATACCAAACCTAAACCACTAACACAGGGTCCTTGGTCTTCTTGTCTTTTTGTGTGTCTCTGTGTCTAGGCCCAAAATTACTCGCCTGGACTTCAAAAAGAGTCAGCTCATGTTGGCTGTGGTGGAGGATGATGAGAAGGTTTGTATTTTGTGAGAAACCTGTGCCTACATGCAAACAAGCAGACACTCAGCTGTAAGGCTATTAACTGTATTTGGCTGTTCTGTGGCGGTGCAGGGTCAGGAGCAGGAGCATACGTTCGTTTTCCAGCTGGCCAGCGCCAAGAGCTGCAAAAGCCTGTGGAAGTGTGCTGTGGAGAGCCACGCCTTCTTCCGGCTACGTCAGCCAACCACAGGCAAGGCCAGCCGCAGCAACTTCACGCGACTCGGCTCCCGCTTCAGATTCAGGTAGAGCACAGGGGCGGACTCCCAGCTGCTGTTTCTAACTGACCATCATATTGGTGACTGCTGAAACTCCACTGAAAAGAATAATACAGGTTGGCTCACTCAGGTAGTTGTGGCCAGCACTAGTACCAGCATATGGGGGAATAGTGCGTCACATAAAACAGAGCCTTTGTATCTATGGTTACAGTGTATCTATGGTTACATGCATCAGTTCCTATGGTGACTGAGATGTTGCCTTCATATTATTTATTTTCTTCTGACTTTAGCGATCATCAAAGCAAATTCTCACACTTGAAGGGCACTTCCTGTCACTTGTTGGAGCAGCTAAGTAAAGCAGCGTGAAGGCTGCTGCATGTCAGAGTCAGTGGATACACTCTGAGGTTACAGGCGGTGGACATAAAAACAGGGACCCCTGTCCACTGCAGTGTAATCCAATATAATAAACAGTGTGACCTATCTGGAGCCAGCTGTTGTTAGCCAACGTCTCAGTTTCATGATAGAAATGAATGGACAACTGAGGATCCTAACTTTAAAAATTCAAGTTGGTTAAATAGAAAACTGTGAAATTACTGCATTTTCATATGCTGATTTATTGTGTGTGTACTGTATTGGTATTTTTTAAATCTACAGTTGACATATTTTCATATATTGTATGTCCATACTGGGCATGTGGATCTGTTGCTGGAACAAGTGAGCTTTTTTGTTTTGGTGGATTTATGTGGAGAGTTTATGTGCATAGCCTTAAATATTGGTGAAATAACAGCTACAAGATTTTTTGAAGAGTATATGTTTATAGATCCTTCAGTTCAATTAATATTTTAATCCTTTTTTATACAGATAGTCTCATTGAGAATGTGTTTTTCAGGAGAGTCCTTTGTACAAGATTAAATATATACAGTTTAAATATAACAGATAAAAGATTTTAAACAATTACCACAGTTTAAACTGATTTTCTTTTAGATGTAACTCTCTTGCAGTGAATTTAAAACAAATGTTTTTACCCTATAACTGAAGCCAGACTACAGTGTGGTCAGTGTGCAGTAATAACGCTTATACCTGTCACCCTTTTCTGTGTCTCAGTGGTAAAACAGAGTATCAGGCCACTCATGGAGGCAGACTGAGGAGAGCCAGTGCGTTTGAGAGAAGGCCGAGCAAGCGATACCCCTCTCGCACACAGTCATTGGGCAAGGGTGAGTCTTTTACCACACATACAAAACCCTGATGACTAACAGCACCTCTTTTGTCATTTATGTGCCCACACGTGTTACTGTAAAGGCCATATCCTGTTTTAATTCACTGGATTTTAGAAAACTTACATTTGGCTCCAAAATAACTATTGAGTGTATTATTTATTTAGAGAAGGACAGCTGCAGCCTGTGAAAGTACTATCTCCTCCATATGATTTTCTTTAAAAATATCTGAAGTAAAGGAGTAATTGAGAAGGTTCAAAACAACTTAAAAAGAGCACTGGCTTCTTTTAAAGAAAGTGGTCCACATTCCAGGTTGTTAGACTGAAGTTTCACCTTTCCACTTTGTCAGAAACACCTGCTGTACTCTTCACTCCTCCATTGTTCCCCCCTTCTGTGAGCTACAGCAGCTTCACAGGCCTACGAGCCTCTATGTCACCAGAATCTATCCCATATGAAGGATTAATTGCAGAGTACAGACCGTGTTAATTATTTATTTTTTATATTGTCACTGTTGATATCCAAACACTTGCTATATATTGGATTTAGAACATTAATTCAGCCCTAGAATACAGAAATAATAATAGCTGGGCACTAGCAAAGAGTTTGATCTAAAATAAAGACGTACACTAGATAACTCCTGTGAAAAGTTACAGTTAAAGTGACAAACTTACAGTTTTATGTTCTGTACTTCCATCTCTTACTGACATCATGTCTCTGTCTATCAGCTGCTATTTCTCCTGCCAAGCCTCCATACATCAGGTAAAAGAAACGCTCAAAAATACACACACATTACTGTACGTGTGAGGACATTCTAGTTAATAGGTTCATTCCTTATTCCCTAACCTTGACCTGAATTCACATACAGCCTGGGTTTTCTTAACAGTAACACTAAATAGCCCTTTGTAAACCAGACCAGTAAACTGTGCACTACTTTGAGGATAACGCACACCATACAGACACAAAGAAATGTATTCAGTTAGTATTTTAACTTGCTATCAATGACTGTTGTCATTCTCTTCCAGCTCTCTTGCTAACGCTGATCCCAGCCTACTTCCAGTGAGTGCTCCTTAGATAACCCACTTTCATACACACACAGCAGCCACTGATCTGGCTTCACCCTTGTGGCAACATCTAATTTCAGCATCTCTTTAATCCCTCTGCTCTTCTAACCCTTCAGTACCAGCATAATATTCCTATTGGCCACGAGCCGTGGCTCCCACCCCGCCCTGCTCTCACACCCCCAGTGTACCTGCAGCCCTCTGGACACACGCCACCGCACAGGTAAGATGGCTGATCACACATGGAGGACACAGAGAGCAGGGTTTAGAAATCCTGGAGGATGTGATTATTAGATAGTGTGAGGATGATTCTCTTAAGAGTCTGGAGGGCAAGTTTTCTATATCTAGCCAAAGTCACTTATCTCATGCTACCCGTTTTCCATCACACTGCATGTCACTCACACATCCCATGTTGTCTGCTTGTCTGTCTCTGTGTCTTGTCTACCTCTGTGTATATATATGTGTGGGTGTGTGTGATCTTCATTCACCCTGTCATGTTCAGGCCTTCTGTCAAGCCCACGAGTCCCACATCCAGTCATCCTCCCACCCCGACAACCAGCGGCACCTTCCCAGGATCCATCAGTCTGGTTTACAGGGATAAGGTCATGACTGCAGTTTGATCTCTGTTCAGCCTGTTTCAAACCCAGATTCTTAACACTCAAATACACACAGACTCATGGCCCAAGGAGAGGCGCTCTGTTGCTGGACTCGACAGAAAAAGATCTCGCCAACATGTTTATTACTGGTGTCTTCATCCATTTGTCACATCCCCTCATGTGCTGCAGTGTCCATCTTCTTAGAACAAGGACTAAGCACCAGAGGTTTTCAGACTCGAGAAATGGGACAGAAATGCTCTGTGAGGTGAAAGAGACAGGCGCATGCTGGTGTTCTGAAGACATTGTCAAGTAAATTTTGGTAATTTTATCAATGTGGAACAGCGGGTTAAAAAAAACCCCTTGGCCCCACAGATTGATGCAGTTTACATCAAAACTTGTACTCTTTCTCAGGGTCAAATCTGAACACGCAGATGTGATGCATGTGGCTTTTAGATTCAGAGTGACGCTTTCCAGGATATCATTATCTAACACCCACATATTCACTCAGAAATCACTACTTGTAGTCCACAGCAAACTGTCTGACTCAAGAATATATAACAGTATGCTTCCTGTTTACATTGTCCAGTGCCCACAAATATGGGAACAGTTCCAAATGTTAGAGCACGATAGTCCCCAAGTTGAAATACAACAATAATAACAGATGTGATAAAATTGATATAAACCTTTTTTACATTCTTCAAACAAACACAAACTCTCTTCTCTGTCTATTTACATATACAGTAGGTATACAGTGTCATAGTTCTTTAAAAAAAAGTCCTGATATAAAGTAGAAGTTAACACTAAATCTCAAATAAAATGAGGCTAGGACCATGTTTAATAGCTTTGTGCCTTGGTTTGCTTTTGAACACTGTCATACCTGTGCCCGTTTAATAGCTTTGTGCCTTGGTTTGCTTGTGAACACTGTCATACCTGTGCCCATAATCATGGTTTGTGTTTTAATCTCAATATGTTTACTACCAGATCTCAAATCTACATGGAAGATTACATTTGTCTTTATGTCTTTGAAATCTTGTGACAGCTAATATATCTAAATCACTTTAATTCAAGTAAGATAAAGTGATGTGAGTACTGAATGATCATGATCTTAACAGGTGGCAGGGCTCCAGTTAAGCACTCATAGTATGCTGGTTTAGGGATTATGCTGCTTTATGTGTAGTATGTATTTCAGTGTGAAATAGAAACATGAATCCTCTTGTCTTTCGAATAAACTTGACATTAATGTTGTGGAGTTGTTAAATCATCGCAGTTTGCTCAAATCACACGATGCCTTTAGAGATGTTGCCATATTGTTTCTAAAAGAAATAAAGTGCTTATAATTGCAAACAAAATTCACTGTTTTGTAACTTGAGCTCAGTCATACAGTCATGTGCTCTTTTCCAGCATCAGCAGTGAGATGTTTGTTGAATGTGCTTTAAAACCTTGAGTCACAAAGTCACAGCTTGGTGTGTTGTAAAGAGGGGAATGTGTTTTGATTGCATGTGCCGTCATCAGTTTCCCTCTGAGCGGTCCTGCATCACACCATCAAGTCAGCGTTGAGGAGAATGAGACTTCACATTCTGGCAAAACCCACCGCCATCACCGTCGGCACACACACAGCCAGGACACGCTTTGCCACGCACACATAAAGAACAGTGAGTACTGTCAGCGCTGCCCGTCTGCTAATCTGTGATGTGTCTGGACTGTACACTGATGCTCTTTTCTGTTCAGTGCTGTATACTGGTCAGCATCAACCTGTTTTAATATCAAAACAGGTTTTACTTCCTGTTATTATTCCTCCTGGTCATACTCTGTAAGATTCTCTTTATAATGTACTTTAAGTGATGGGGGACAAAATCCACAGACAGGAGCCTTTAGTGCTCAATTTACAAAGGAGGAATGTTTCAGTCTTATGTCATTGATAAACACAGTATTTATACTGTACAATACATATGATAATCCAGTTTTCATCAAGACAAAAAAGTGAGCTCTGTGTATCACATACATAAATGTTGCTGCTGAGTTTTTCAGAGGTTACTTGCTTTAACGCGTTGAGCACCAAAAACATAACATATCAGCTGTACAGCGGTGGCAGCAGATGTGTCTGTGGCAGATATGACCAAATATCACTAGGGTTCAATGATTTTGGAGAATTGCTGTTTTCACTGTGCTTTAGTTTTTTCACTTTCTTTTACAACTTTGCATGGTTTTGTCTGTGTTTAAAAGCATCTACAAAAAATGTACCAGCACCGATGTGAAACATAAATGAATACCATCAAACCTTTAGATACTAATTACACCATTCCTTCCACATGAACCCCATGTGGTTGCACTCAAGAACCAAAGATGTACATAAAACTGCATGTCTATACAATAACATATGTAGCCTATAGTGCTTTTTCTCATTAAACATTGTGTGTATTAGAATGTCGAGCTCCTCCCAGCCCAGCGGAAAAGTTGGACATCTCTCAGTGTCTGCTCAAGGCTCTGGAGTCAGACAGTGATTCTCCTCCCTGGCCCTCGCTGCACGTCAACACTAGTTGTCCTACATTTCTGCTTGTTACCCTGACAGGGAGAAGAGAAGCAGCTGTCTGAAAAGTCTCTGCACCCTCCTGCCTCTCCAGTGGTGCTCCCTGACCACCTCAAGTGCAACATCCTCAAGGCCCAAATGGAGGCAGCTTTCAGGGTTAGTGCCAGCACTGACTTCCACTTAAACCTTGTGTTATTAGTAGTATAACTAAACAGCATTATTTGCGCCCTTTTCTCCTCCGGCATGAAGATGGAAGCGCCCACAACACCTCGAGGGAAAAACTCAAATGAGACCATCAGTGACAGGCTAGTACTTTGCCCAGTCTTCAGATGCTTACATGTGCTTCTGCGTATGTGTATCAGTGACTTACTCTCCAAGTGATGACTCTGGTCTCCAGGTATCAGAGCTCCTCCCAAGACTCAGCTGCATCCAGTCTGACTGCAGACAAGACGCCTTACCGGCAAGATCGCAACCCAACGCCAGAAAGGCTGCAACCCAAAGTCAACCCAAGCACCAACCGCAGAAAACGACTGGTCAGACAATTCAGCTTGTGAGTACGCATCACCTTTGATTACTGTTTAAGGGCAGAGCTCCCAGCCAGCACTCCTGAGATGAATACTCCACAGAGTACTTGAAACCACAGCAGTGTTTTCTCTGCTCTTTGACAATGACACTTTGTTCATAACAATCTGCAGGTCATGTGACTTATTCAGTCTCTCTATATTTATTGCTCATCAGTAACCATGAGGATGAAGATAATCTCCCAGAAGCACTTGCAGCCATTTCCTCTCAGAGTACAGGAAGGTTGGGCTCTAGTAGCTCACTGGACAAACAGATACAGCCATCTATATACCCACAGGTAACACACACTTTCACCCATGCATGCAATGAGTGTATGTTTCTGCAGGGCACTACCGTCCATTTATGAGGGATTCATTGAGTCTGTCAGCATGATCTGGAAGTAAACTGAGGACTATCTGTGTGTCTATACATTGATGTGTATTCCAGGTGGATAATATGCCAATATTGGAGCTGGGTAGTCCATGCTGTCCTTCTCCTTCACCTTCCCCTCACCTCTCCCCTTCTTATTATCGTAGCTCCATTCCTCACATGGTCCCTTACCTTGCTGCCCATAATAACAGGTAATACACACCTCTATTCTGCTCTCTGAGACATGTTTGTGTAGTGATCTAATGTACTTAAGTACAGCTTTGGGGTACTTTTATTTGATTTGCATATTTCCATTTGATGCTACTTTATACTTCATTTCATTTCACATTTCTTTTACAGCTTTAGCTACTTTTCAGATCAGGATTGCACATAAAAACAAATGATCTGTTTATTATATATGGTATCATTAAAAATTTAACCTAAACCAGTGGTTCCTGACCTTTTTGGCATAAACAGGTACAACAGCAAAATAGTGTTTACACATTGATGCATCAGTATAAATAAACTAATAATGTCATAAATAATAATCAGCCATTTTTCTGTACTTTGTCACTTTTGCTGCTCAAGCATCTTAGTAATTAGATTTGTGATAAATAAGACAATCAAAATCTGGTCATAATGGAGAAAAAACAAAAAACAGTCACTGCTAAAAGCCAGCTAGCCTCGATTAAGTAGCTGTAACATCTGTTTCTGCATCCTTGCCTCATGGGGCCATTTACAGGTTCATGATTTGATGGGGATAAGTTACCTTTAAATCACACATTTAATAGCAAATATTTTTAATTAAAAATCAAATTATTAAATGAGCTCAAAAGGGAAAAAAACAGAATAAAAAGGAAGGCATTTTGTTTGTATTTCCTGTAGATTTTCCATAAATTAAGTGCAGTATCTAAGTGTTTTTATAAGATCGTTTGTAAAGTATGTCACAATGATTGGTAACCTATACAAGTAGAGTTTTAGGGCTTACTTATCTTGTAAAAACCTTCAAACTCCAAGCCCAGTTTTTTTCCTTCCCTGTTTCTGTAGTTACTGCTCTCTGCCTTTTTAATGCAGCATTGTCTGACCTCTTTATATTGTCTGTATCATAGTTATTGTTGTACAACTGGTTTTACACTGCTATCTCAACCTGTTCTTTCTGTGCATTTCATTCTCGAGTGTGACTTTTATCTGGTTAGATAAAGGAAATTCAATCTTTAACTTGTTATAACATGAATTTTGTTTGTGTCTGTAGTGGAGAGGAAATGAGGGTGGACAGAGAGAAGATACTAAGAACGCTCCTGATGACAGAGCTCTGATACCTTGACCTGTGACACCTGTGACATCATTGCCAGACAAAACATAACAGGCTTTAACTTGAAGTTATTTGTTTAAATCAGCATTTGTAAATTTGCACAATACATTCAGCAGTTCTAAGTATATATTTGCATAAAGGCAATTGTTATATTTGCTTAATTGTTATTTTAGAAGGATGGCTCTTTATATTCATCCAAATGAAATTGTATAACCTATAAAAGAGATAGAAAAAGATGGATACAACACAAACAAGCTACAGATGTGACTGGTGCTGTTTGCATGATAAATATGTTACAAGATTAAATATTCATCTGAGTTGTGTTGGGGTTATGTTTAGATTTTGTGTGGTTTCATCATCATTGTGTCCATGCTGATACCAATACTGTGTCTGAGACAGTGACTGTTCAAGCATCATGCTCAGCACTTCAGAAAAGCATTGTTGAAATGAAAGTCACTTCACTTTCAAATCAGTTTGTTCAGAAAATAAAGACATTGTAATTAACATGTGGATATTGTAACCGAGCAGGTATTGTAAATGCTTTCTTTGTTATTGTGTTTACTATAATGTCCAGAATCCATTTTGAGTTGCCACAGCACTTTAGAATTAGGAAACTTCTTGAACAGAGTGAAGTGAAAGTGAATCTTGACTCAGTGTAGGAGATGTTTTGAGAGGATTGTGAGCTTGTGCAGCTGCAGTCTCAATCTGTCCACTAGAAGGAGGCAGATCTGTACTCACTGCGCATGTAGCAGCTGAACATACTGAGCCTGTGTAGAGGCTACCACAAGCAACGGATTGTGGATCACTTTGCTTTTTAAAAGAAAATTTAAAAAAACATAGATTTTGTTTAGTTATTTATTTGCGTACACTTTAGAGTACTCTTTTCAACACAGATCAAACGCAAAACTGCTCTCAGAAGTCACCCTCTGGGAAGTTAGGTATTAATAAGCATAAACCTACTGCTCCACAACTTTAAGCCTGTTTTTGTCACAGCCACATCTGAGGTAGCATATAATCTGCCACTCTTATGTATGTGTCAGTTTAATTGTTCCTGCCCTCAGCTGGATATTAATAAAGACTGCATCATTGGTTTGACAGCTTTATAGCAACCTCTTTGGTCTCTGCACTGACATGGGAATGTGGATCGGCCTCGCCCTGAGTGCCCGTTTAAGTGTGTATGCAGGCCTCACCCGCCCTGTGAGGGAATGTTGCTATAAAGAATATTACTGATTTATCTGCCTCTACACACCTATGAGCTACAGTACAGTGAGTCAGCCTGTAACTCCTGTTCTGTCCTTCAGTGAACCATTTAACTCTATATAATTCATCTTCATGTGCTGGAAATGAAGTAGACTTTGGCAGATATACATATGTGGGGAAAATTTTAAAAATAAAACTTTCAAAGCATAATCACATCCTGCCTTAAATGTTTGTATGTAACAATACACTATGGAAATGGCTGGAGTTGAGAGGGGAGGCTGAACCATATGTTTGACTTTTTTATTTACTTATCCTTGACTTAACTGAAAAATGGCTTCAATATCACCCCTAATTGCACATTTCAACTTTGCTTTCAAGCTTAAAATGTTAATAGGACAACAACATACTGCTCAAATTGCACATTTTAGTAGTAACTGTCAGAATTATGTCAACATAACAAATGGCGTGTCCTGTTTAACAAGTGTTTGAGCTGCTCTCTAAGTTATGGACTAATTGTAATTTTAAACTAAACATAATTTTACATGGCCATCCCAGGGTTTGTGCTTTACATACAAAGAAACAATTTAGGAAGTAATAACTATTCTTTCATAACTATATATAATAAGTTTTTTTCCACACTAGATGTGTATTTCCCCCACAACTCTGCCATTAAAGTGATAACAATTACTGTAAGATCAAAAAGGATATTTTAGGCTTGGTTGCACAGATGCTAATGGTGTTAGGCTGGTTTAGACAGTAGTTTTTTGTGAGTGAGTGTTTTTTTTAAAAGGGATCAAGTTGGGTGGGGTACAAAGGATTGTATTTCACAATGTCAAATCTGCCCTAAGGGGGTCTGCCATGGTTTTGTCTGCCTTCCTTCTCTCTTCCCCTTTCTGCACTCTCTATTATTCACCTTTCCACCCTGTGAAAAAATGTGCTCAGTGTATCTGAGTGACAATAGCTTCTTTGCCACAGCATCTGTGTGTATGTGGGAAACAGAGGTAATCATTGAGGACAGTGTGCGGGAGTTCCCACAGTTTTGCCTCCAGCCACATTCTGTCATCACCACAGCTCCACCTGTGTGTTTGTGCTCTAATGCTTCACAAACCCTCTCACAGTACAGGCAGCACAGTACGTACACTGCAATATCAAATTCACAGTAGGCAAACAGGGAAATCAAACAGCTGAACACTGGCAGACTTCTCGTTATGTTTATTGCATTTTCAGCATAGCCGCAGCAGGACATCCTGAGCAGGACTTTAATGTCCTACTGTAGGATGTGTGTACAGTAACATGGGGCCCAGCCAGCAGCTCTCCTGGGCAGAGATGGCATTACATTAATGAACAAGATATATGTCAGAGGGGTCCTTCATTTCCTTTCCTTCTCAACCTTCCTAAAAATCTATAAGTGAGCACATACAAAAGAAATATGGTGAACATTTGTCTGCAGAATGACCTGTCTGTTCAATCATATTCCCCAATATCAGCACAGATGATGGAAAGAAAACAAGAAAAGTGTAATGGACTGATAAAATATACAAGACAATCTGTCAGAAACCACCTCTGGCTGCTGAGATTCATTCCGTAAGCTGAGAGCTTGTGACAAGTCTGCCCAAAGAATGCAAACCTGTGGTTAGGTTACCGAGAACTGGGGCTGCCGTCTGTTCAAATGGGAATCCGAAACAAAAGGCAAAGCAACATTGGCATTACACAACATGGAAGAGGACCCATACAGGGTACATAAAGGGGTGGGCTAATAAAGTGTGAGCTGTCACATTTTTGTAAGTGAAGTCTGATGCTAGGATCGGACTATTGGACAAACTCAGCGTAACATGCCATCATTCAAAGGTACTGCTATGATATTCATTAGCAGTCTTATTGATTAGCAGTGCATTGATATTTGGCATTATGTAAACATCTTAAAGTTTTACTACTAAATTCTTCACACACTAAAGCTTTCAATACAATCACTGTGTACTGTATCAAATGTATATAAACACATAAAATGCATAAACAGATTGTGTTACAATGTATTGACAGCCATGCATAATACTCATTCTCATCTCATTCATAGTCGCACACACACACTTTCATTCTTCACAGAAAAGCTTAAGGAAAAAATGAGCTCATCATTCTGCTCTAGGTTCAACTAGCAAATATGTCATAGTGATTATAATATAACATGTTAAAAATCTCTATAAAGCTTTTAAAATACACACTGTGCAATATAAGACAAAACTGCCAATCGTTTTTTTTTTTGGCTAAGGCCACAATGATTTTGATATAAAATACATTATTTTCTGTTCTTAACGATATAAATAACACATCTAAGAGACTATCATTAAAAACCTAATGACACATTACAAGGCACTGTCACATGACCTTTGTATATGTGTGAAGCTACAGCAGGGTCAGATCCAGGTACTGCCCCGCTGGCTTGGTCATGAGAGCAGGGAGGGACATGAGAGGAGCATCTCCTCCACTGGACTGACCAATCAGACTGCTGCTCAGGAGAGAAATGGACTCCACAGGACTCTGCTGGGGAGAGATGAGTGAGAGTTTGGTGTTAAGGAAGGGGGACAAAAGCGAGAGAGAGACAGAAGACTATTATTCCAGTACAAAAGAAAAAAGTTTTTTTTAAAAAGAGCCCTAGCACCAGCACCAGATTTTAGCCATTATCATCTCAACCACATGAAAGCTACACCTGTTATTACCCACTTATTTTAACACTATAGCACCACCAATGAACTGTTCACTGAGCCCCATCTCATTGCTGTATTCATCAGTGTATACTTGTCAAGCTTTCCATTCTTGCACTGAATCTTTTTAAACATTTTTCAAACCACTTTTCTTCAGTTTCAAAATAATAAACAAAAGCAGTTCTCTTATTTCAAGAATTGTTGAATTTTGGGCTATAGCGAGCACACATAAACTATTGCTAACACTAAAGCTCTATGAGTTAGTTAAAAGAGAAAGGGGTTTAAAAAAGCAAAACAATTATGAGTTTGTCAAATGTGGTGCTAGCTAGCACACATTTGGTGGGAGTCACAGCAGGCTTATCTTCTCCAAACCTAGGAGCTGTTAATGTTCTGGCTACTAGGCCTTGGCTTTGTTCCAGTCCTGAACAGGTATTTTTCTAACATAACCTGTAACCCAACATAATAACAGAGTGAGCTAATAATAATCCCTTTCGAAAGTAAAGGTGTGTTCACTTCATTGCCGAAAACCAGCTTTGAGCACACCTCGTCATTGTTTTGTATGTGTTGCACTGCACATTCTCTGCGCAAACGTCAACAGTATGCAGGAAGGAAAAGGGGTGCGCCAAAAGTTCACAGTTGTTGAACTTTGAGCCCATGTTGCTCTGACCTTTTTTGGGTGTAGCCAATCACTGTTAATCAGTGCTTGAAGTCTGCACATTTAAATATCAGCATGCTGGTACAGCTAACAGGAATGTAAAAACAAACAAACAAAACAAAAAAACCACTGAATGAATGCTATGCCTGAAGCATAGCATCCTACTGCTTGTAACATTAGTAATGCAGCTAAGATTTGACATTGCAGTACCACAAGTAGCCACCGGGAAAAAATGGCTGCCTAACAAACATTTTCACTATAGATCACAATGATAAAAGAAACATCTGTAAAACTGACAAGACACCTCAAACTGCAAACCAAGTCAATTATCACTGTTTGAAATAAGAATTTTTAATCTATGGAGGTTTTATACTTGTAAAACTTTAATAGATTTTTAAAAAGAAGTTTTATTTGTATGATTGTATAAAGCTCATGGGCCGAGTGGGAGTGCAATGCAGAAGCAACAGCATGTGCACCAAGTGAGCAACTTTCAGTGCAAAGAATGGGAGTGACCTTGTAATCCACTATCCAGGTTTCATAATACATCCGTGTTGTGTGTTGCATAGTTAGACATGCTAATGATTCCAACTTATGTAAGAGCAGATAAACACAATGTGTATTTACACTTTTACTGTTGTGTTTTTATTTTTAGCCCTCTCATGAGGTGGGACCACAGTCCATTACTAAGTACAGCTCTTATTCACACTGTTTTGGCATTCGGAGAAATCTAAAGCTTGACAGGCCTGTCGTGCCTAAATGCAGTTGCTAAGCTAAAATTGCATAATCAATGTATGGGTCGGGGTTTAGTGAACAGTCAAAGAGCCTTCTTGGCTATTGCTATATCCCATAAGAGACTACTTCAGAAAGAAATAAATAGAGTATTCAGCATTAGATAAGGCAGATTTCCATTTCTACAGAGGACCCCACCTCCTCAGAATGATTCAAAACAAAACCCAAGCATTGACAAAACTCCAAGAAAATTCCTCAAACCACCTAATCAATAAAAGATATGTTCATTGTAGCTGCTGTATGTGGTTAGTGAAAAGTTCAGTTTCAACAGAAAATATCACTGTTGTGTTGAGCCCTGTAACCTGCGGTGACCAGTCAAGACCCACGCCACAGCTACAACCACTGATCTAACTAAATCACTGAACCCTCAGCCAATCCTTACCTGCCACCTGCCTCAGACACCTTAAATACACACCCATTCTTTGGGCTGCGTAAGCAACGTCCTGGCTGGGTTATGAGCATGCACAGGCCCATGGGCGTGCATGAGAACTTCCTCTGGGGCGTACTGTGGTTTGAGGGAGGGGAGGAATGACAGAGACAAGGGGCTGAGATACAAGTAACCACAGGCACTAACCAAGAGACCACATGGACCTGGGAAATCCAGCATGGTAGTGAAAGACGAGCTTGTTTATGAGAACAAAATAATAAAGTATCGGCCCCAACTTGTGTCTCATTTTGTATAAACTCTAAATCCAGTTATTTATCATATTCCTGAGATTCTCCACTGTCTTTTAGTTAAAAATATGGCTTGAGTTCCTCCAATTCAAGTCTAAGCAAGTAGCAGTCCATGTGTGACAGAACTGGGAGAGCAGACAGGATAAACTAGTTGGATAGCCTCCAGGCAAATACAGTGAATGTCTGACAACATACATCCTTAATAGAAAAAGATGTGAATACAACACTTGGTTCTACAGAGGGCTATGTGAATTATGAAGACACAGAAGGTTTACATAGAACTGGATTAATATCCAGTTACCAAGCACATACTGCAATATGTTTTGTAGAGAGGTGTATCTTACCTGGTATCCCTGCACTGCATTAATGAGGTCTTTAACTTCATTACTGTTGTAGGTCAAACCTGGCATGCGCACCAACCCCCCTGGGGTGGAAAGGGAAGAGTGGGATGGGAAGAAACCTATGGTTGTAGGTGAGCCAGGTGGACTGGAGAAATAAAAGAAAGTACAGACAGACTGTTATGCCACAAATATCTACAAAACAACATAAACACCTTTCAAAGCCATATGTTTCTCAGCAATCGAATCACAAAATAATTTTGGGTGTCTATAAATGATCTGCTTTCTCAGTCACAGAGTACTGAAAAGGGAGAAACAGAAGTCATTGATGTTTACCAAGCTGTCTAATAACCCATTGTTCAGTTATTAACTACCCTTGTCCCAGTCTTTCTCCTTGGACAGATACATTAACCAAAGACAAACTGTTTGTACTTTTCCATTTTAAACTCGAGTCAGTTTTTAGTGACTCCCAACAGAATAAACAATGCAAACCAAAAAAAGAAAAAAGGATTAAAATCCTAACTGCTTTAGATGTTTTTGTGTTATTTTGCATTTGTTGAGTTTGGGAATATTTAACAAAATTTATAAGGCACCAGTAAAAGTTCATTTTCAAAAGCACTGTTATGTATTACAGTACAGTACTACTGTACAGTACATAAGATGCCATCAGTTCCAGTGAGTGTAAAACCTGTCCCAAAGTGTTTCAGGGCTTTCATGTTCTTCATGTGACCAAAATAATACCTGTGTAAACAGAAGGCTCAGAAAATCAAACATGTAAACAATACCGGTTTAGCTTCTTATTTGCTATTTGACTGACTGGCTCATCTTAGGACAAGGAAGTCTAATCTTAAATCTGTTTATTTTTGGTCCTATGATTTTATGTAGGAAAGTGTTTTCACCATGTACAGTGAATCCAACAATTTTAAAATTATTACGGATATTTATTCCATTTAGTCCATTTCTGCAGTTTTAATAAAGCAGAATTATATCATTTTCAATAACAAAAAAGTCACTGAGCTTGAAAAATGTAGCTTATCTTTAATTCATGGTTGAGAACTACTAACCAATAAATTTGTCATGCTAATATGACAATGAGCAATAATATTAGAAATACCACCATAAACTATCACAAATAATGTGAGGGTTGGTGATGTTTTTGAGGCTCATCTGTAACTATCACCGCTTACCTGGGGTAGTAGGCTGCGTAGTTCATGTATAGCTGACCTGTGCCGGGATAGTAGGCATGTCCTGGAGGCAGATGGCGAGGGGCTAGCAACACCTGACCAACAGGAGGGTAGAGGGCAGCAGCTGCCTCTGTGGACAGGACCGGTGGTGCCGGGGGGGAAGAGTAGGATGGCACCTGGACAGGAGAGATCAGGGGGAGAGTCATAAACTTAAAACCAAGCCAAAAGAGTCATGATGATGAAGTCTGGTCATTGTTTGTTTCAGAACAAGGTGCTCATGCAAATTTACAAACAATGACCACCATTACCATTACTCAGCACCTCACACATGTATTTACTGTATGTGTGTACTTGTTAAAGAGTGAAATCTTCTTTGTGCAGGAAACGTTGCACCGGACTGTGAATATTTGTCAGGCCTGTAGCCAGGCAAGTGGTTTTCACCTGTGAATGCCAACATGTTTTTTCATTTTTAGTATTTTGATACGTCGTCGTCTGTGAAACTCACTTATTAGCTAACTTTCACAATGTAACAAGCTTAAAGATCAAGTAAATCAATAAAGTTTGCAATTATGAATCTCTGTAGCATCTACTATAGTTCTACTTTCTTGTAAGACTGCAGAAGTCCAGCTGATAAATGTATGGAGCCATTTGTGTATGCAGGATTTCCAATATAAGAGCAACATTGCTCTCAGACATTATTGGGATCTAAGAAGTGGTAATGGGTCTGTTCTGCAGAGCAACCAGTTATATGAGGCAAGATCCAATTTATATACTGTAAATGCTCAAAAGTGTTTGATCTTCACACCTGAACATTTTCCTCCTCCCCCAGTATGTTCCAAGTTACGGGCTCAGTATGGGGTTATATGGAACAGGCACATGCTGCCTAACATGTATTTATGCTCAACAATAATCAAATTTTCATCTTGTCTTAACATGACTTCACTAATATGCACATACAAGCCTTGAATCCCTGTGCTGTATCCTTTTCACTCATGTAAACATCTGTACTTCTTATCAATATTAGGCCATTTTTAATTGTACTTTTCTTTGAAGACTAGGAGTGCACATTAACGGTGAAGGACTACAGACACAGAGAACAAAGCTCATGTCTATGCACCAGCGTTCAGCCCTGCCCACCTTTCCCACAGCTCCTGATTGAACAAGCACAGGAGATGCACACGACTTCAAGTGTGTTGGATTATTGAGGCTAAATCCCATAACCACCACTACCAATCTGACAAGACTGGAGAGTTGTAAGCCATTTTGCCATATTGTATGGTAGTTGGTACTGAAGCTGTCTTGCTTACACTTATCCAAGTCTTTCAGATCTCTATGAATTACTGGCAAGGGAGTAAAATTAAGAATGAGTAACAAACATGCCAATGAAAAGGTGCACAACAAGACTCAATCAGAATGTGTGAACACAGGTGAAAATTGAAAGTGTAGTATAAACATTTGAAACGTGAGGTTTCTCAGTGCATGCAAATGGGTAATTTAATTACACTAAATTACAAAAGAGGCACCACACTCTCACACACAGTTCGGAATCCTTCTAGTTAGACCAGATGTCTCCATCCTCCCACAGTACTAGATTGGAGAAAACCCAGAAGCCCTGCCCCCACGGCAGGAGTCCACCTACCCTGCAGTCCCGAAGCACCCCCAGCTCCCAACAGCACTTACGTCTGGACTTACATGGCGGCGGGCTGAGCCCTGTCCCACTCCTGCTCCGGTTATGTGTGTGTGTATGCATGTGTGAAAGCGGGCCTCCCATCAGCACTAGGCCCATCTCATCGGCACTGCAGGGAAACACCTCCTCCACATAGCGCCTGTTCGCCCCACGCTGGCTGGTCATCACGAGCTTGTTTAGCCGCTGTGAGGCCTGAAGTGATCTCTCTGCTGAGGTCATCTGGATGAAGCAGTCACCCGACGGACGACCCTGGAGAGAGAAGACAGTACAGACTTTGCAGCACCTGCAAATTTGAATCAGAAAGCATGAGTCTATGGGTGTGTCAGTGCAGTGGTTGCAAGTACCTGCTGGTTGAGGACCATGTGCACACCATGTGGTCTGATATCGTGTGTAAACTCGCCCAGGAAGGTGAGGATGTCCTCTATGCTTGCGGTGTAAGGCAGCCCCCTCAGCCTCAGGCAGTCCCTCACACCACCAGGAGGGGGCAGGAGAGAGACTGCAGGCAGCACTGACACCAAGGGGGCAGGGGCAGCAGGGATCAGAGGGGCGGTTGAGTATCGGTTCAGC